AAAAAAGGGACGAGGGCACTTGTTACCATATGCAAAGCTTAAATGAAAGGTAGTTCCTAATCATAATCATGCACGCCGCAACTGCTCCGCATGGATTGCGCCGCCGCCCTCACCACCACCCCCCGCATTCATTCTCCCACTCCTCCACCCTTGGTCAACAGCAATCGATTTCCTTCAACCTGCATCAGCATAGAAGAAAAGCCTTCTCCCCCTTTTCCCAGCCCCCCATTTCTTTATTTTGCAAGGATGTGTGTGTAGCAAGGTATGTGTGTGTATGTGTGTGCAAGATGTAACACATATACACATAATCTCCCCTCCCCTCCCCTCCCCTCCCCTCCCCTTCCCTTCCCTTCCCTTCCCTCCCCTCCCCTTCCCCCTCCCCCCCCCGCCCACCTGGCCACCAGCGGCGGTGTGTATCCGCCCCCTCCAGTCACCAGCAGGGGTACGCGCCACTGGGAGCCCCCCCTGGAGGGGTTGGGGGGCGGGGGCCCGGCCCCCTCGACGCCCCCCGTACGACACAGGTCACGAACCAACTCCACGCATCTGCAACATATGCACATACATAAATACATAAAGAGCGCGTCGTATCTTGGTGCAAGAACTAAATAATCAACTGCCGACGTACAAACTATCAACTCCCCGAATAACGAGGGCAGCGGGAAGGGGGAAGCTGGACGGAGCTGGCCCTAAACTGTACATACATACATACATGCATACATACATACATACATACATGAAATGCATACATATAATATGTGGACGAAGAGTACATATGTACATATGTCTGTAAATGTGTATGCACACACATATATACACGTACAGCCATTACTAAGAGCACGATATCGCCGGGGTGTGTGGGGAAAGATACATACAACTCAAGCCGCGAAACACCTGCAGACACGCAAAGGCGCGTGGAGGGGCTCAAAACACGGCGGGGCGATGGGCGTATGCATACACACTCCTTTCGCCCCCCCACACACACATGTACACCCCCGTACGGCACCGCTCCGAAACCCCATTCCACTTGCCTGGAGTGTCCTCTAATGGAGAGGTTAAACCTCCCCAACTTATCCCCGGCCACGCTGTCACAGCCGCACTGCAACACAACCGCCTGAGAGGTGGCGGGATGGGATTGGGGGCCGGGGGGACATGGGGGAGGGGGGCGGGTGGGAGGGAAGTAGTTATAAGGGGGAGTTGGAATTAGTAGCGGAGGGGGAGGAGGAGGGAAAAGACGAACCACGAGCGAGTGAAGCTGATGCCAAGGAGCGGGGGGGGGAGGAGGAGGGGGGATTACATGCAAACACATGCCATGCCAACACGCGGGAAAGGGTTCGTAAATCGGGGTTTAGGTTGTGTGGGTGGAGTGGGTGGGGGAAGACGAACCACGAGTGGGCGGGGGAGGTTGGTTCACACACACATACACCACCTAGCACACAGCAAAGCAGTAGCAGCTCCCCTCGCGCCGCAAGACGACGTTCCCCCCCTCCCCTCTTTCCCTCTCCTTTCTCTCCCTCGCAAGCTCCCCCCTGTCCCTACACCCGCCCCCCTCCTCCCCCCTACCCCCCCTCTGCCCCCACACCCGCCCCCCTCCTCCCCCCTCCTCCCCCCTCCTCCTCCCCCCTACCCCCCCTCTGCCCCTACACCCGCCCCCCTCCTCCCCTCCCCCCACCTGCGGCTTGAACCGTTCAAATGCCGTCTTCACAACCGCCTTGTACACGTGGAAGTACGAGTCATCCGTAATGTCGTCCTGCAGCGGTACATTGACCGTGTAGTACCTGCAGGTACCGCGCGGATAGATAGGGCAGAGGGCAGGGGCCAGAGGGCAGGGGGGGAAGACGACACACGAACGAGTGAAGCTGCTGCCAAGGAAAGCGTGTACAAGGAGCAGAACTGACCAGTAGGCGTTCTTGAAGGCGGCGACCCCGGGAGGCGGGGCAGAGGGGAGGGTGGAGTTGGAGGTTGGGGAAGACGTAGGCGCGTTACGAAACACTCGTCCCACACACGGGTACATATGGAGGTGACAGTGGTAGTGGTGGTGGTGGTCGCCCCCCGGTCCCCTCGGCCCACTCACTTTCCAGTCCCCTCCCCCAGGTCGTTCTTCTTGCCAGTGCCGGGGAAGAACACCGGGCGCTGGGGCTTGCCGTGGTTGAGAGTGTCGTTGGTGGCCTAGGGGGGGAGAAAAGGCGGGGAGAGGCGGGGGGGGGTGTGTGGAAAGGGGGAAATCGACGCAGCGCAACGCTAACTTTTTGTTCTTAGGACAGAACAAAGGAGAGATTTATAAAACCTCTCAACGACAGCAACGCGGATGGGACGTCCTCACGCGGGAGACACTGAAACATGTACGAGTATAGGGCCCAGGGCGGGAAAAGCCTCCCTTCCGGGGCGGCAGTCAGCTGGGGGGGGGGGGGCCGGGGGGGGTGCGGAGAACGGGGAGCGGCCATTACAAATACCGTCATACACACTACACTACACGACACTACACGACACTACAAACTACATAAGAGGCAAGGCCCCCGTAAAGATAGGATGAGAAGCACGATAGGTAAGCGGGGCTATGCACCAGCCCCAATCCCCTCCCCCTCCTCCCCCCCTCCACACACAACCCACCCCCCCACCCCCCTCTTACCTGCATGCGCCCATCATCCCACTTGTGGAGGCTGATGGACATCACCTGCACGGTGACAAGGACCGGGAAGGGCGTCCCGATCAAAATAACACCATCACCATCACCATCACCATCAACACCAACACCAATACCAACAGCAACAACGCTAATGCTGTAGGTAGAGCCGCTGTGGATGATGTTCAGACCGCGGATATGGGGTCACCTTAGGGCGGGTGTGCACGTGGTGTGGTGGGGGGGGGGGTGGGGGATTGTAGAGTTTGGTGTGTGTGTGTGTGTGTGTGTGTGTGTGTGCGCGTGTGTGGAAGTGGATTCGGTGTGCACGCGGCTCCAGATCATCATGCCATGCCGGGCCCTACGTATCGCAGCAGTCATCAGTCCTTAAAAAACGGCGGAGGGACCTATCCGCACTCAGGACGCAAAAGGGTCCTAGTCACGTAGTTTTGCTGGGGAGTTGTGATGTTGGACACATATAGACATTTACACACACACATGTACACACAGGCTGAGACATAGAGTGACAAACCCAGACAGACAAACCCAGACAGACAAAACCAGACATCCAGACAGACAAACACCGAAGGGACAAGCAACTAGAGAGGGCACTTGGGAGGAGGCAACCTACCGAGGAGAGCAGCACTGCACAGCCGGGCAAGGGAACCCCGGCCCT